TTCAACATATGGATTAACATATATGTTCATGTACGTATGTGATGAATAATTCAACAAGTCTAACGCAAAGGTACAGACCTGGAAATCATCGGCCGAAACCTTACGGATGAGCGGGAGTGGAAACAACATCGAAATTTGCCAACTTTGTCATTTCCGTCACAATTGGAAAGCCTGCGGTATTTTGGGCATATCTCCATCGTTTCTTCACGGAATTGCAAACTGTTTGATTCTGTGGATTCCTAAGATATAAGGCTATAACTTTCGTATAGAAAGTATTTCGTTTTAACAGATGTAAGATAGAGTAAATTGGACCTGAAGTCAAGGGATAGTTGCTGTCCAGGATTTTGGATATGTCGATGAACAATGATTCCGACGATTAACTCCTTAATTTCAATATTCCAACGCCGAATTTGATTAATTTCAAAATTATGATATGGCACATTATATCATATGGTCAATTTGATTAATCATGATGATAAATATTTAATGATAATTACATGATGGTACATTTAATCAATTTGCTTGTGAGGATGATTACATGATACCTATGTAATCAATATACTTTTTCTTGATGATGATTACATGAAACCTATGTAATCAATGTAATTGTACTTGATGATGATAACATGATGCATGATCCTATAACTTGCAAGGACACCCTTGCGCTATGAGATTCGCCCATTTGGTACGACGAACTCACGCGGCCTTAGTCTCACGAATGAGGTGATACTAGAAAATAGGGGTGGTACCCGGAGACCTGAATACCATGTACGTACACTAAGCCCGAACTTGTGATGTCGGACTACTAAGTCCCGCACAATCACGCTATAAGAGACGCAATTACGCATGATCTCTTACGCATGCACATGATGTGATATGCTTCAATATAAATGTTGAAGTGAATGACATGATGTGAACAATTTGCAAACAATATGAATATATAATCATGCTTTAGTTTATTTGGATGAAACATGATTAAAATATCATTTAATAAAACTACTGGGCTCGGAACGGTCGACCGTTTGGCGCGACGGTCGACCTTGATCTTCATCAGGTCGGATTGGCGATTCACCGTGACGGTCGACCGCGGTTGACCGGCGGTCGACCGCGGTTGACCGGCGGTCGACCGTTGTTGACTGGCTGCGGATGGCGGACTTCGGATGGACGGCGGCGGTCGACCGTTAACCACCGGCGGTCGACCGTTTTGCTGACAGTCGTGGTCCGTTTCAAAGTTTAATACGACGGTCGACCATTTGCATCGGTCGTTTGGGTCTGCGAATCTTTCTCTTGATATTCTAAGTATCCATAATACTTCTTTAAGTTTTTTTAAACACCTTTGATTAATATATACATATTGTTGGGTTGATTTCAAATGTTTATATATACTTATATATATATATAATAACTTATGGATTTGGTGTATTTTGGTCTTAACACAAAGATGACTTACATATGTATCACATATTTATTTCGGGATGATTTCAACATATGGATTAACATATATGTTCATGTACGTATGTGATGAATAATTCAACAAGTCTAACGCAAAGGTACAGACCTGGAAATCATCGGCTGAAACCTTACGGATGAGCGGGAGTGGAAACAACATCGAAATTTGCCAACTTTGTCATTTCCGTCACAATTGGAAAGCCTGCGGTATTTTGGGCATATCTCCATCGTTTCTTCACGGAATTGCAAACTGTTTGATTCTGTGGATTCCTAAGATATAAGGCTATAACTTTCGTATAGAAAGTATTTCGTTTTAACAGATGTAAGATAGAGTAAATTGGACCTGAAGTCAAGGGATAGTTGCTGTCCAGGATTTTGGATATGTCGATGAACAATGATTCCGACGATTAACTCCTTAATTTCAATATTCCAACGCCGAATTTGATTAATTTCAAAATTATGATATGGCACATTATATCATATGGTCAATTTGATTAATCATGATGATAAAT